AAGAAGTTTCCTGAAAAGATTAGTTTTAGGCTGGATCCAAATAAAGACTACTGTGCAATAAAATGACTTTACATAAAAAGCGGCGTACAATGGTGTTACATGTGCAATGGCATACACGTGAGATGGTTGGAGGTTTAGCTAGTGCAGGGATCTTCAAACTTGGCCCTTTTAGGACTTGTGGACTTCAACTCCCAGAATTCCTCAGGCAACATAGCTGGCTGAGGAATTCTGGGAGTTGAAGTCCACAAGTCCTAAATGGGCCCAAGTTTGAAGACCTCTGATTTAGATGCTACAATTTATGCATTTGCAAATGAAGTTGACTTTGTTAATTAAAAAAAAATACTATCCAATCCACCATTTCTTATACAATTGAAGTAAGCTGAATTCAAGTGAGCAGAGCTCTTAGATTAAATATATATTGCAGAATGCTCTGTATTTTTAATTATATCTTTGCAATGAAAACATAACGTCATTTTCTGGGTTAGAGGTATCTGGGGAATTCTGGGAGTTGCAGTCCAAAAGTGTTAAAGTTACCCAGGTTGAGAAACACTGCTCACTCCAACAACACTGTGATTTCCCCCCCCCCCCCCCAAGTTTTTCTAATTTCATTACCACTTAAGTTTTCCTTTAGAAATTTACCACAAACGAGTTAATCAGAGAAGAGCAAACCATGATCAATTAAAGGGCAGCGTTGCAGCCTCCGCCCCTGATGCGCCTTCCCCTAAGAATGTGCGCCACCCCCGCGCATCTTCGTCGCTTCATTCTCCGTGATGGAATTGCTCCACGATCCCTTAGTCCAGGGGTAGGCAACCTTGGCCCCTTTATGACTCGTGGACTTCAACTCCCAGAATTCCTCAGCCAGCATGGAGGAACTATGGCCCCTTCATGACTTGTGGACTTCAACTCCCAGAATTCCTGAGCCAGCCTGGCTCAGCTTGGAAACCTCTCCCTGTCCCCTCAGCCTGGCTGGCTCAGGAATTCTGGGAGTTGAAGTCCACCAGTCATAAAAGAGCCAAGGTTGCCTACCCCCGCCTTACTGACGTCACCTCGGGAGACTCGGAAGTGACGCACACACCGCCCCCCAGAAGTCTCCGCCCTTCCTTTTCCCCGGCGGTAGCGGCCGTCTTCAGGTGAGCACGATGGCGCTGGGCTGGGCCTTCAGTTTCATCCGGGGTCGTGGGCGCCATCCGCTCACGAGCCCCGCCGAAACGGGCCCGAACGGACAGGGCAGGGCTCAAGATGGACGCCCGCGGCGGTATTTCCACGTTTTGGGAAGGGGGGAAATGGACGAAGGGAAACGGGGAGGGGGGAGGTAAATACTATGGAAAAAGAGCCCCGGATGTAAGGCGATGGAACAAACCATTCCGTTCAGTGACGGGGGGGGATTTCTGCGGATCATTTATTTTCTCCTACGGGGGGAAATTTTGCAGCAGCAGAAAGGCTGGGAGACAGGCAGAGTTTCTGCTTTCATTGCCCCAAAAGCAGCGGACGTGGTCGTTGGCATCCCCCGGGCGAAGGGAGGGCGCCGGGCTTCTCCACGTGTGGCTGAGTTGCAGCTCTCCAGTCTTGCTCTTTATGGACTTGGCTGTCTGGAGCTCCTGAAAATTGCAATTTAGGACGGGGGAATGCTGTAATTTTGTCATCCTTCTCCAATAGAAAAAAGGGCCAAAGTTGCATAAATGCAATCTGGAAGTTACAGGAGTCGTTGCTTTCATTGATTCTAGGACAGCATTGCTGGCTGTGGAATTCTGGGAGTTGAAGTCCACATGCCTTAAAATTGTCAAGTTTGGGAAACACTGTTCTAGGAAATTGAGGGTTGGGTGTTTCTCAATTTCTCCTGTGATGGTTTGTGGGGCTGAGGGGGTAATAATAATAACAATATAATAAAAGTTGGAAGGGGCCTTGGAGGTCATCTAGGTGCCATGGTCTTAATTGAAAAGAAGAAATTTCAAGGAGAAAAAATAAATAAATTTACTCTTTCATTGGAATTGGTACATTTTGCAGTACAGACCTCTCCAATATTGAACTGATTTCCTAAGTAGAAATAGGACTGGGTTGTGGCGGTGTAGAGCAGAGGGAGCATAAATGTTTTGGGCTGTAATGTAAATCACACCTTACGTTAAATCTGAGTTAATCCAATACAGATGTGGCCTTTGCATAACAGGCTGCAGAGGGTTAAACTATAGTGTAATAGATTGGGCCACAAAACATGCTAAGACAGTGTTTCTCAACCTTGACCATTTTAAGGCATGTGGACTTCAACTCCCAGAATTCCACAGCCAGCAATGCTGGCTGTGGAATTCTGGGAGTTGAAGTCCACATGCCTTAAAATGGTCAAGGTTGAGAAACACTGCGCTAAGACAATGCTGGGTTCCCCAATCAGTAAATCACCCAATCATAGTTTTTTAGCTTAACCGATCTTGGCTGATCTCAAAAGGTGAAATAGGAATGGACTTAATACTCAGATGAGAGGCTCCAAAGAAATATTAAGGCTGTTGAATTTTTTTTATTAAGAACCAAAGAAAAAACTTGAAACTGGCAAAAAAAACTTTCAAGAAAATTATATGAATGGATCCATCAAATCGCCAGAATCCAAGCTCAATTTTGCAGGTTTTTCCTAGTAGAATGTGCCAATTCAGCTGTGCTATAATTTTAATTATATTTTGTATTGGCTTGGCATTTCAAATAAGATCTGGAAAATAATAACTATTTAGCACTTCAGGGTAACATTTTAATCCATCGTATTAAAAATTCTGATTCCAGCATAAACAAATTGAGATATAAACAAGACCGAAATGTTACAGTTTTACAATTCTTTTATAAATCTTACCATTTTATAGTGTATGTGAGTGGTTAGGGGGAAAGGGATTGTGCAGGAGAGGGTGGGGTAAAACCCGAGGCTGCGATGATGACTATCTTAGGACACCTTTGGATATAAATAATGAAAATACTATGAATTCTGAGCAGCTTTTTTTCTAGCAGCCTAAGAAGGAAGGCCTCATTTACTATTTCAAGTCTGAAACACATTTTTTTTTCCTCCCAATTTTGCCTAGGTGAGCTTTGAAAATGGTCCGCTACTCACTCGACCCAGAGAACCCCACAAAATGTAAGTAACTTTCTCAAGAGTTTTATTTCGTAGATTTTGGTCACAGGACAAAAAAAGTTTTAATTTTTGCTTGTTTTCTTGTAGCATGCAAGTCCAGGGGTTCCAACCTTCGGGTCCATTTCAAGGTATGCAAATTGGGTCTTGCCTCTCAGTATGAGGGGTGGGTAGATGTGTTTGCAGGTAGTCCTCAACTTACAACAATTTGTTTAGTGGCTGCTCAAAATTACAGCGGCACCGAAAAAATTGACTTACAACCATTTTTCACACTGAAATGACCGTTGCAGCATCCCCACGTTCAAAATTTGAACGCTTAGCAACTGGCTTGTATTTATGACGGTTGCGGCCTCCCAGGATCATGCAATCATCTTTGCAACGTTCTAGCAAGCCTACTCAATGGAGAAGCTAGATTCACTAAAAACCATGTGACTAATTGAATACTGCAGTGATTCATTTACCGACTGTTGCAAGGAGGGTTGCAAAATGGGCCAATAAGTGTCTTGTTTAGCAACAGAAACATTGGACCTGATGGTTGTACGTTGAGGACTGCCTGTATTTTGATGGTACTTCATTGCATTAGGTCAGGGGTAGGCCACCTTGGCTCTTTTATGACTGGTGGACTTCAACTCCCAGAATTCCTGAGCCAGCCTGGCTCAGCTTGGAAACCTCTCCCTTTCCCCTCAGCCTGGCTGGCTCAGGAATTCTGGGAGTTGAAGTCCACCAGTCATATAAAAGAGCCAAGGTTGCCTACCCCTGCATTAGGTTCTGTTCCGTCTCGGGAGTAACAACAGCACTTATTTATTTATTTATTTATGAGACTTATATACCGCTTTAAGTGCAGGCACTCTCTAAGCGGTGTACACCAGTAAGCAATGTATATATCTATATTTACATTGCCCCCAACAATCTGGGTCCTCATTTTACCTACCCCGGAAGGATGGAAGGCTGAGTCAACCTTGAGCCGGTGAGATTTGAACCGCTGACCTGCTGAACACAGTCAGCTAAGTGGCCTGCAGTACTGCACTCTAACTGCTGCGCCACCTCGGCTCTTAGACTTACATACCGCTTCACACAGTGCTTTCCAACCCTCACTAAGCAGCTTACAGAGTCGGCATACCCAACAATCTGGGTCCTCGTTTTACCGACCACGGAAGGCTGAGTCAACCTTGAGCCGGTGAGAATCGAACTGCTGGCAGTCGGCAGTCAGCAGAATGAGCCTGCAGTACTGCACTCTAACCACTCTGCTATCACGGCTCTTAATAGTCAGTTTCTGATTCCATCTTCTGCCAGAAGGCGCCAGGCTCCCTGTCCCTGGAGACCCTCCCCTACCTAACTAGCAGCCCTGGTTTTTGTTCCCCGGAAACCCCAGGAGACGATTTTCCATTGTGGATACTCGGCTTCTGTATTTGGGAGGGGGCAAGGCTAGCACAGCAGTGGCTCTTCCGGGCTTTTCCCCTCTGCCATTGCTTTGGTTACTTGCACATTCCTCCTATCTTCCACGACTGTTGATTTGGTGGCAAAACAATTGGGGTGGCACTTAAGGTGCCGGCCTACAAACCAGGAGGTTGTGAGTTCTAGTTTCACCTTAGGCACGAATGCCGACTGGGTGGCTTTGGCTGAGTCCTTCTTTTCAGTTCAGCCCATCTCCACAGGGTGGTTGTTACAGGGAAAAAGAACGCATGCTTGCTGCCTCTTGAGTTATTTGTAAAGTAATAAAAGAGAGATAAAATTCTTAATTAAAAAAAACTATCTTAATATTACACTTCCTTTATTGGTTTTCCTGTGATTAGGCAGCCAGTTAATAATGATTCTTGGATTGCCTGTTTGAAGTTCTTGGGATCGACTAAAATGGAGAACGATCGTTTATTTGAGGAGCAGGGGGGAAGATGTATTGTAACTGCAGTGATGACCAACTTAGGACACCTTTGGATTTGTCATGAAAACACGTTGATATGTCTGAGCAGTTGCTTAACAAAATAATGTTGCACTTATTCTACAACATTATTTGGTGGCTTTGTTATAATCCATGTGGTTTTTTTGAAAAAAACAGCCATGACCCATAACCGATTTAAATAAAATTGAAATGGACCGCAGTGGGCATCTAGTCCATCCCTCTATGTAGCGCAGGATCCACTAGAATGTCTCTGACAGATCATTCCCCAGCTGCTTTTTGAAGAGCTAAAGCAAAGGCGAGCTCGCTGTTTCATGAGGCAGCCTGTTCCCCTGGCTGAGAGCTGGCAGTCAGAAAGTCCCTCCTGATACCTACCTTGAACCCTCTTCCTTGCTTTCAATTCAGTGAAGCAGTAATGAGTAGGTCTACTCCAGTGATGGCGAAGCTTTTAGAGACCGAGTGCCCAAACTGCAACCCAAAACCCGCTTATGCATTGTCGGGTGCCGGGTGGGTGTGGCCCATTGGCTGGGCGTGGCCCATTGGGTGGGCGTGGCTGCAGTGGTAACGGCAGACTGGGTGGGACTAAAAAGTTCAATCAATCAATTCCAACTTTGCAAGATCTCCCCCCCCCCGAGAAGTTGAAATTGACTGATTGATTGAACCTTTTTTTTTTTTGCACACGGCAGCGGAGGCCTAAAGCGAAAAGGTTTTATAAAACCCAGCTGAAGGCCTAGGACTGGGGCGACGGCGTGCGTGCCCACAGAGAGGGCTCTGAGTGCTGCCTCTGGCACCCCTGCCATGGGTTCGCCACCACTGGTCTACACCCTTTTTAGTTTTACTAAATAAAGATGGCCGCCCAACTCACAGATAGGTGACTCCGGGCAGCTTACAAAAGGGGTCTCCAGCCCTTGGGCCACCCAAGCGGCAGACGAGCGCTCCTGCCGTTCCCGTTGCACAGGCACACTTGCGCACAAAGCTCCCTTTGCCTGAACAGCAGGCCGGGCCACCCGCCGCTTGCACAAATGGCATTGCCTGTTCTTGCACGCACCCCTACTGTTTGCACAAATTTGTCCTCCTCTCCTGATGGTCCAAGCCGGAAAGATTGGGGATCGCTGGCTCGCAGGTTAAAACCCCCTCACGATGTCAGCAACAACCCAATCAAGCCCTTGAAGAGCTCCCTTTGGGGTTGCCAGGCCTGCTAACAAAAGCCTGTTTTTAGGGCCTTTTAGAAGAGCCTTGGAAAGGGTGGAGGCCCCCTGTACCTCCACAAGAAGGATATTCCGTAGAGGAGGGGCCACCACCGAGTAGGTCCTTTTCCGTGGTCTACCAGGTGTACGTTCCTAATCGACGGGACGCGTAAAAGACCCTCCTGCCTTCCCATCCTGGTGGGCTGGGTTGATGTAGCAAGGGAGAGGGGATCCTTCCTTCAAGTAGCCTGGCCCCGAGCCATGTGGGGCCTTAGAAGTGATAACCAGCACCTTGAATGGTGCCTTCACCTGTCCTGTCTTCTCTAGAACACACGTGAGACGGCCCAAGCCATCAAGGGGATGCACATCCGGAAGGCCACCAAGTACTTGAAGGACGTGACTCTGAAGAAGCAGTGCGTTCCCTTCCGGCGTTACAATGGGGGTGTTGGCAGATGTGCACAGGTACGGCTCTGGAAATCGTTGGGCGTGTGTTTGTGCAGCCCTGCGTGAACAATAGCAATTTCAGGAGGAATTCTTAAAAGAGCAATTATTTTAAATGAGGATATTGCTAAATGACAATTACTGGTATCTTGCTTAGAAGTGGAAGCTTTAATGTGTTCACAAAGGTGCTTGATGTAGGAAAATGGAGGGCATTTAGTATTTTGGGTTTCCCAACCTTGGCGACTTTTAAGACACGAGAACTTCAATTATGCTGGCTGTGGGGGATTCTGCAAGTTGAAGTCCCCGCTAAGGTTGGGAAACCGTAGTGCATGTGGTAAAACCACCTCTGAGCTGCATTGTCCTTTTGTTTTTGTGGACTTTCATGGTTTATAGCTGGTTCCTGAGCTGGAAAGATAAGGGCGGACGTATCATTTGGACTATATATAAAACCTGGGTAAAATTTAAGTAGATTCTCGAGTTGTTTGGATGCAATGAACTTAAAATCTTCTCTGGGCTCCCTTACACGTTTTTAGGGTTGCTGTGATGACTTTCTTAGGACACCTTTGGATTGACTGTGAAAATAAGATTAATTCTGAGCAACCTGTAAAAGCGGGAAGCTTAAGAAACCTCCTTATTGAAAAGAAAACTGACGCCAAGTTCCTCCCCTTGCAGGCCAAGCAGTGGGGGTGGACCCAGGGCCGTTGGCCGAAAAAGAGTGCCGAGTTTCTGCTGCACATGCTCAAGAATGCTGAGAGCAACGCTGAGCTGAAGGTAAGGTTGAATGCCAGGGGCTGGTGCTGGTTTTCGCTAACTATATTGGGACAGGTGGGGTTTGCTGTCTGGTTAAAGCAAAAGTGTTGCAAATTGTTTTAAAGAGAGCTTTCCAAAATGTTTTTCCCTCCCCCAGGGTCTGGATGTTGATTCGCTAGTCATTGAGCACATCCAGGTCAACAAAGCCCCCAAAATGCGCAGGCGCACTTACCGAGCTCACGGGCGCATCAATCCGTACATGAGTTCTCCCTGCCACATTGAGATGATCCTCACAGAAAAGGAGCAGATTGTCCCTAAGCCAGAAGAAGAAGTTGCTCAAAAGAAGAAGGTAAGACCCACACACACACTACCCCCCCTCCCCCATTCGATTGAGAGCCATCCAGAGTTTCTTTACAAGACAGACAGCTGTATAAATCTTTTAAAGGAATAAACGAACCTTTTCTTAGCATGTGTGAAAACAAAAGGTCACTCTGCTCTACTCAGTAGTTAAAGCCTGTTTAAATACATTATTTTTTTAGGTATGTTGACTCGGGTGAAGCTATTAAAATAATTGATTGTTCATGCCTTTGCAACTGCAGATATTTATTTTTATTTTACCTTTATTTTTATAAGTAATTCAAGGTGGCAGCCATACCTCGTGTTCCTCCTTTCTCCTAACTTCACCATTACCACCACCCTGTGAGGTGGGCTGGGCTGAGATTGACTGGCCCAAAGACACCCAGCTAACTTTCATGCCTAAGATGGGACTCAAATTCAGACTCTTAGTATTTTTCATAGTCAACTAAATGTTTCCGTGTATAAAGTGCAATGCAATTAGATTGGTGGTCCCAACAGCCTCCAGCAGTGTTTCCCAATTATAGCCATTTTAAGACATGGTGAACTTCAACTCCCAGAATGCCCCAGTCCCAAGTGCTGGCTGGGGTATTTTGAGAGTTGAAGTCCGCACTTTAAAATGGGTAAGATTTGGAAACACTGACCTAAAAGTTCACAAAGATAGTGAGTGTATGAAGTCTTAATAGAAATTTAAAAATCTCTAATTTCATAAATTAACATCAAAAGAGAATCTTAAATGTTCCATTTTTTAAATTCTCCAGCATGCTCGGGGTATATGCCTTATTTTAGGAATTCAGCTTGTAACAAGAATCAATGGCCGGGGAATCCTCCTTTGCATATAAATGCATTAACTATCCTGATTTGTGTATGTTCTATGATTTCCATAAAAAGCCAACTTGGATTGGTTGCCCTGCATGCTTGCTTGTTCATTGTAAGCTAGCAATGTGAAGAATTCTAGCTTAATGTGTAAGGGCATTATGGGGCTCATTAGTGGCTTATTGTAATCTGCAAACGTATATGATTGTAGCAAATTGGTACTGATTTGTTTCATTGTCTTTTTTTTTTCAGATATCCCAAAAGAAATTGAAGAAGCAGAAACTAATGGCTCGGGAATAAACATTGATGTAACTTACAAATAAATCCCTAGTTCATTTTAACACACATTTGCTCTTCATTATAAATTTATGCCATGGTCTTTAGCTTTCTGTGCAATACCTTTTTCGACAAGATCATACTTCACAGATTTCAAACACACTTTTAATTGAGCTTATTTTAAATACTGACATAGAAAAACGTAACATGGTTTTTAAAATATGCCGCACATTTAGAAAACATAAATGATGGCTAGCTATACTCACTAATTACACACTAGTTGTAATCCCAAAGGCTGATAAACATGGTATGTGTAAGGCCATTGATGGATAGATTGCTTTCTAGAGCTATTGAATCTGGAATGCAATCATTCAGATATAGACAAAAATACTCTTGGTTGTCTTTTAATGGACAGCTACCTCTGGCATCCCAGATCCCTGAACTATAAATGTTTCTCCCATGTGGAACTTGGTACAAATCAGTTTTTTTCAAAGGCTGCCTGGAGCAGTGGTTCTCAACTTTTTTAATGCCACAACCCCCAACCGGTCATAAGTCGAGGACTACTCAACTGGTGCAGCACCGTTTGCAGAATGGGACTTTTGGAGGGCTCAGCAGGGCAGAGACAGCCTGGACAATTCCTATTGGCTTTTGAAAGCCAATAGAATTAGACTCTATTCAAGAGAGTCTATTCTATTGGCTTTCAAAAGCCAATAGAATAAAAGGGAGTAGCACAGCTAAGGAAAAGGGGGAAAAAATGGCGGACTGCGTTGTTTGGCGACCCCCGTGAAATGGTCGTTCGACCCCAAATGGGGTCCCGACCCACAGGTGGAGAACCACTGACCTAGAGGGTTCTGAGAGTGGAAGTCCATACATCTTAAATTTGCCAAGAACTCTGGTCTAAATGAAATGGGACTACAGGGATGTTATTGAAGCTTTGCTCTAACGTTTAATCGAACCGCTATAGATAACTCAATAGCTATAAATGCTGCAGCTAGCTATGGTAACTAATGTGCAGACTCTAAAGGAGAGATCCAATCTTCCAAATATAATTTTCTTAATGGGAGCCTAAAAATCCTGCTTACATTCTGTCATAAAAAAAATTGAATGCACCTCTAAACGTTGTAAGTAGTAATTCCAGAGCTGGATATTTTAACAAGTGTCGGCAGTGATCGGGTGCCCAGACAATTGGTTCTTTTTAATCCAGAGACTATACACCAGAAAAGGCGATTTTAAGCTATATTATTGGCTCAAGTAGAATTAAAAGCATAAGATAAAAAGCAAACACACCAAGCAAGGTGACCCCCATATCTGTTGCAAGTTGTCAGGAGCTCCTTAAATATATTGCAAGATCTGGCAGGTTCCACTACTCAGTACTTAGGTTCTGTACAGAAGCTCAACAACTAGAGCCCCCCCAACATCTTTTTTTATTAAAACCTGGCACCGTGACATCATGGCCTTGTTATAATTGGGAGACTGCAAGACCCAAGTTTGAGTGGTACATGACTCAAAAACCTTGAGACCGCTTAAACATTTGCAGGTATATGAAGATTCACCATCAACACCACCAAGCAAGAATAAAAAATAAGCCGCGTAGCTCAGAAGGAGCTCTATATTTCTAGACTTTCCTTAATATGAAGGAGAAATCAAAATACGTCACTCCACTCAAAATAACGATCTGCCACATTGCCACTACATTCTACCCGACACATTTTAACTTCTCTTCATGTTTTGTATGTTTGCAAATAAATTGTATATTTACATGCAATCAATTAACATGCAAAGTCTGCATCAATATAGCCATTAGGAAAATAATTATTGGCTGCTTTGCCAAATTTAAAATACTGGTCATAATTAGTGATGATAGATAGATAGATAGATAGATAGATAGATAGATAGATAGATAGATAGATAGATAGATAGATAGATAGATAATGTATTATATAAGATAAAAATACAAAACAAACTAAAAAGCTAAGATGGAGACAGGTGAAAAAGAAAGAGTAATGACTTCCAACTTTTTTCACTGCAGTAGAATATTAAAAAAAATACAATCTCAACCTTTTACTTTACTTTTCCAAACTCCTTGTGTGTCCAATCACACTTGCCCAATAAATTATTCTATTCTATTCTGCTCGGCTCTATTTCAAGCCATTTCTATAGCAACAAAATTCTAATTATTAAAACCTAAAAGCAAAGTTTCATTTTTTTCAGTTTTGACAAAAAGTCCAAGTAGAAAGAAAGCTAGATAGATTCTTCTCTTTAATTAAAACATTTAATTTTCCATCTCGGCCGCCAACTCCATCCCCATCCATTCTTCAACGTGGGCATTAGTGTGTCTTTCTATCTTTGTGCATACAAGAGTCTCGCTGCTATCAACTTCGGTAGTAACAAAAGTCCCAAATTTTCTTTCAAGCCCTTTATCCATTAAACTTATGTAGAAAACTTGGGGTTTCAGCTTTATATTTACTTTAAGGTCTTGTTAATTAGTATAAAAATGTAATTTCTTTGCTTGATCACAAGTCCACCAGAGATGACAAAAAGCACCCTCTTTACAGCTGCATTTCCAGCATACCTCTGAAACTCCTTTATAGATCTTTGACACACACAAACTAGCAGTTTAAGAAAAACTGAGACACACAGACGTGACCTTTAGTTTAAGACACACACACAAATGTGTCCTTTAGTAGTTTAAAAACTCTGAGACACAACACACACACACACACACATCCTTTAGTTTAAGACAGACATACACAGCCTTTTAGTAGTTTAAGGAAAACTGTGAGACACACACACACACAAACGTGTCCTTTAGCAATTTAAGAAAAACTGAGACACAGACGTGTCCTTTAGTTTAAGACACACACACAAATGTGTCCTTTAGTAGTTTAAAAACTGTGAGACACAACACAGACAGACACACACATGTCCTTTAGTTTAAGACACACAGACAGCCCTTTAGTAGTTTAAGAAAAACTGAGACACACACACACACACACACACACGTGTCCTTTAGTTTAAGGCACACACACAAATGTGTCCTTTAGTAGTTTAAGAAAAACTATGACACAAAGACACACACACACACACAGCCCTTTAGTAGTTTAAGGAAAACTGAGACACACACACACACACACACAGAGCCCTTTAGGAGGACTGGCTGTAAGGAAGAGCGGCGGGAGACCCAGAAACACGCGTCCTCCCCTCCGCGTTCACACGTGCAGCCCGGCACCCGCCTCGCCCCGCAGCCGCGTCAGGGCGGAGCCTCCGGCCCGCGTCACGCGCCGCCCCCCTCTCCCATTGGCGGTCGCCTAGTGACGTCTGTTTTCCGCCTCTCCCGGAAGTGAAGCCGCCTCCCTCCTTCTCCTCCCGCCGGGAAACGCCGGGGCTCCGCGCAGGTGAGTCAGACGCCGCCCCCCCCGGACCCCCCCCCTTCCCACGGGGGAGGGCAGGCGCCCCCCCTCCTTCCCGGCGCCTTCTGGCTCGTTCCGCTCCCCCCTCCCCCCCCAGGCAGGCCCCCGGAAAGGCCCCCCCCTTCGCATAGTCTGATCTTTTTTCTAACTGTCGCTTTAAACGTGTGGGGGAGGGGCAGGTTTCCCTTTAAGTCACAGGTCGCCTTCGACCCCTGAATGACCGCCCCTCCCCCAATAAGGAAACTCAGCCCTCTGGCATCCCCCCCCCCTCAATTACCGGGATCTGTCTGTTTATCTCTATCTCTTTATCTCCTCTCCCTCTCTCTCTCTCTCTTTATCTATCTATCTCTCTCTCTATCCATCCTATCTATCATCTATCTCTATCATCTATCTATCTATCCATCCATCCTATCTATCAATCATCTATCTATTTATCTATCCATCCATCCATCTATCTATCTATCTCCCTCTATCTATCCAACTATCTATCTATCTGTCTGTCTGTCTATCTATCTATCTATCTATGCAACCATCCATCTATCTATCTATCATCTATCTGTCTATCATGTCTATCTATCTATCATCTATCCATCCATCCATCCAACCATCTATCTATCTATCTATCATCTATATCTATCCATCTATCTATCTCTATACCTCTCTCTTTACCTCTCTCTCCATCTATTTGTCTCTCTTTATCTCTCTATTTCATCTCTCTATTCATCTATTTATCTCTCTTTATCTCTTTTTATCTCTCTCTATTTATCTATCTTCCCTCTATTTATATTTATCTCTATCTCTCTCTTTATCTCTCTGTTCATCTATTTATTTCTCTATTTATCTCTCTCTACTTATCTCTCTCTCTTCATCTATTTATCTCTCTCTATCTCCCCCCTCTCTATTTATCTATTTCTCTCTCTCTTTATCCCTCTATTTATCTATTTATCTCTATCTCTATCTCTACTTATCTCTATCTCCCCCTCTATCTATTTATTTCTATCTCTTTTTATCTATCTCTATTTCTCTCTGTCTCCATCTACTTATCTCTCTTTATCTCTCTCTTTATCTCTGTCTATGGCTTTTCATTTAATAATATATTAATTTGTGTTCATTAACAGTTCATTAAAGAACCATGTCAGTAATAATTACTGATTATAAGACTAAGAGAGAAAAAAGGCTGCTGTGGCAATGTCACCCACTCACTCCTTGTGTTTGGAGAAGAGCCCCACCTGCTGACCCCCTCATCTTAAAGCTGCCAAGTCCGATGAGCTCTCGGATGGCTTTATCCCCCTGGTCATTGGGGGAGGGGGCTAATGGCACTAAACGTTAAGCCCAGTGAAAACATTGGCATGACCATAGCGTTTTATTGACAGTGGTATGGGAGTAATTTTCCTATTATCTTCCTCCAAGCAGTATTGACTATTTCCTAGTTCCGCCTACAGCCCAGGACTTTCCGGGTGGTCTCCCATCCAAGGATTAAGCCAGCCAGATCCTGGTTAGCTTTTTTAAAAAAAAAAAAACTGGCAAGGGTAGAGAATTGTCATTCACTATGATGCTAGTATATGCTTGATTTATTTCATGATTCCCTCCCCCAATACACAGAACAGGAACCCCCTGTGAGACAAGCTGAGTGGAGAGAGAGTGACTCCCTAGCATGGCAAATGATGTGTGGGTGGACTGGGTCTCCCAGGTTCCAGTCCCACATTTTAGTCACTTGGCCATGCTGACAACATAGTCATAAAATACAACATAAATAAGTGTTGGGTTGATACTTAACACAGGAGTTATAATGCATCAGAAGGAGAATATTTGATTTGTACTGAAGGATTAATGGTATGCAATGATTGTCAGATTTTGAATTCTTTTTTTGAAGACTTTTTTGCAGCTGGTTGTTTGCAATTTTTTAATGATAAAATTTCCAGACCCATTTTCTTTGCTTTACAGTGATGCATTTATTATACATTTTCCTTTTATTTAGCCTGATATAATTAATATTTTAAAATCCATGGAGTAACTGATGCTTCTAACTGATTACTTCAGGTTTGACAGAGTTAACTAATTAAAATTGCAGTCCTCTTTTCAGTAGCTGGTACACAACTCAGCTGTAGATAAACCACATAGGAAACATGAATACAAGCAAGCTGTAATTAACTGAATGCCTTGTCTCAGTGCAGCAAACGGCCGTTGTTGTTTTCATCAAAATGCAAGTAAAACTGGAGCGCTGCAACTCTCTGTAATTGTCTTAGCTTTTAAGAACGAAAAGAGTATAATTGCATTGAAACGTATGAAAAGCAAAACATTTGAACTAGTTCTAAAACCCCGAAATGGAAGAAAAAACTGTCTGTTGCCATTTATAATAAAAATAGCAATTGTTTTCCTTGGAGAGAAGGGACAGGGTTTTTTTTTTTAAAGAGTCCGGTCACTACCATCCCTTTATAAAGTTTTGATTGGCAGGCAAACAGCTTCGTGGAATAAACTTTAACTAATCAAAAATAAGTCATTGGCTGTCAGAATATCGCTCTGAAATCTCTAGTCCAGATTTAATCATTTGATACTAGACCGATAGGCAGCCAATGGCCCAGGGTGTGTTTGTATGTACATGAAAAGCCAACAAGGTAGCCATAACCACATAAGTGAAGCCCTGCACCTTTTTACAAGAACTGCATAAAAAGCAAGCAAAAAAAAGAAAAAAATCACCTGATCACTTCCCCGTGGATCCCTCTGCCTAAATGCCTCAAACAGCATTCACAATAATTCCATTAAGATTTAGATTTCAATAAAAAAAAAAAAAAAGATTTAGAGCAGGAGTTTTCAAACTTGGCCCTTTTGTGACTTGTGGACTACAACTCCCAGATGGTGATGGTGATGATGATAATAATATAACAACAACAACAAAACAGCAGCAACAACAAATAATAATAATAATAGTTGTTGTTGGAAGGGACCTTGGAGGTCATCTAGTCCAGGGATAGGCAATCTTGGCTCTTTTATGACTGGTGGACTTCAGCTCCCAGAATTCCTGAGCCAGCTACGCTGAGGGGGAAAGGGAGAGGTTTCCAAGCTGAGCCAGGCTGGCTCAGGAATTCTGGGAGTTGAAGTCCATCAGTCATAAAAGAGCCAAGGTTGCCTACCCCTGCCCTACACCATTACAGACAAATGGCTGTCCAGTCTCTTCTTAAAAACTTCCAGTGTTGGAGCATTCACAGCTTCTGGAGGCAGGTAGTTCCACTGGCTAATTGTTCTCATTCTCGGGAAGTTTCTCCTTAGTTCCAGGTTGCTTCTCTCCTTGGTTAGTTTCCATCCGTTGCTTCTTGTCCTGCCTTCGGGTGCTTTGGAGAATAGCTTGACTTCCTCTTCTTTGGGGCAGCCCCTGAGATACTGGAAGACAGCCATCTTGTCCCCCCTCGTCCTTCTCTTCATTAAAGCAGACATACCCAATTCCAGCAACTGTTCTTGATATGTTTTAGCCTCCAGTCCCCTGATCATCTTTGTTGCTCTTCTCTGCACCCTTTCTAGAGTCTCAGCATCTTTTTTACATCCTGGTGATCCACTTGTTGTATTTCTTCCTCCAGCCTCTCTTTAAAGCCCACTGTAGAGAGCCATGGTATGCATTCCTTGCATCGTGATCCCAATCCTGCTCTGGGTCTACAAGAGGTTCCTGGAGCCGTATCTCTACCCCTTCATCTCTCCTTTGATCAAACGCCTTTGGCCCAAGAAAGCCGTGCAGGGACCGGCCAAGCCGGAGCAAAGGACCAGCTCTGAGGAGGATTCCCTGACGCAGGATCCCTTCGGCGATCAGCCGGAACTTTATGAAGTAAGCATTACCCTGGCAAAACGTCTGTGTGTGTGTGTGTGTGTGTGTGTGTGTGTTTTGAGGAACCCCATTAGAAATGGATAAGAATAAAATAGAATAGAAAAGTTATATCTGACATGGTCAAATGACCATATCAAATACATGAAACTAATGCAGATAGTCCTCCACTTAGGGCCAAGGCTGAGCCCAAAATTTCCACTGCTAAGCGAGGCGATTGTTTTAAGCGAGTTGCACCTTATTTTACAACCCTTTTTTCCCACAGTTGTTAAGTGAATCATGCAGTCGTTAAGCGAATCTGTCTTCCCCCATTGGCTTGGCTTATTGGAAGCTGGCTGGGAAGATTGCAGATGGGGATCCCGTGACCCCAGGGCAGCGCAGCTGTCGTAGGCACCTGCCAGTTGCCGAGCACTCGAATTTTGATCACGTGACCATGGGGAGGCTGCAGCGGTTGTGAGTGCGAAAACTGGTCACGAGTCTCTTTTTTCAGCACTGTTGTCATTTTGAACGGTCACTAAGCAAACGGCTGTAAATGAAGGACTATCTGCAAATAATATCGACAGACACAAGGAAAACAATAGGATCACAAAATGGACGGGCGATTCATACCGGTTTGCTAATTGCAATCAGAATCCTCATTGCAAACAGGCTTTCTTAATGCTGTAATTCTAACAGAGCAGTCTCTTCGTTTTTCATTCCCCGCACGAGCCGTGCCCTCCTTGGAGTATCCTGGAACATACCTAAGGCAGTGGTTCTCAACCTTTTTAATGCCGCGACCCCCAACCGGTTGTAAGTCGAGGACTACCCAACTGGTGCAGCACCGTTGGCAGAATGGGACTTTTGGCGGGCTCAGCAGGGCAGATGCAGCCTGGACAATTCCTATTGGCTTTCGAAAGCCAATAGAATAAAAGGGAGTAGCACAGCTAAGGAAAAGGGGGAAAAATGGTGGACTGCGTTGTTTGGCGACCCCCGTGAAATGGTCGTTCAACCCCAAATGGGGTCCCGACCCACAGGTTGAGAACCACTGACTTAAGGAAAGGAAGGTACTCATTTTGAATTTTGCTCTGGGATGAATTTTAAGCTGGAAGGCTTGGCGGTGTCCTCATTCTCTACCTGTAGCCTTTCCTCTCCTGTTCTCATCCTACGTATGTATATTTACCAATGAATATTCATAACGGAATGGAGACGGCCTGCAAGTCAAGGTAACAAGAACGCTGCAAAGAATTGGAAGAATCTTGGCTTTGCAGGAGTTGAAGCCTTGTACAAGCTTGAATGTGTCCTATTTAAAATGCTTGTGCAAAAGTGAATATCATTGTGCTTTAGGTTGAGGGTTAGCAACATGGGGCCTCTGGGTGCCAGGATGTCTGGCTGCGCCTAAACTGTGCCGTCTCCAAAATAATACTATTAATAATTAACCACCCTCATCAATATCATTAACAATTAATTATTAAATAGGAGTTAATAGTTAATAGTCCATGGTTAAATAGTCCATGGACTGAGCCACTGTTAAATTTTCTTTGTTGTCACATATAAACCACATTCTCCCCCCCCCCCATTTTTTAAATAGATTCGGTTTTAGGTTTCAGAGGAGCAAACAGAGATTTTTTTAGCCAGCTTCACCCACCAGATAAGCTGGAAAAGTATCCCACTCTGCTCAGGTGGCATCACCGGGCATGCCTGGCATGGTCCAAAAACCCTTCCCCACCCCTTCGCCTCCAGATGCAGTCTTTGCCCGCAAGGATGCCCACCTGCCCTGGTTTCAGCAGACTTCCAGTGAGGGGCATACGTGGCTGTAGGTCAAGGGGCTTAAGGGTATTACAGGCAGTCCTTGACCTTAATGGAGCCTGGAATTTCTTTGTAAGTCACGATGGTGATATGTCTAGGCCAGGGGTAGGCAACCTTGGCTCTTTCATGACTGGTGGACTTCAACTCCCAGAATTCCTGAGCCAGCATGGGGAATTATGGCCCTTTTATGACTGGTGGACTTCAACTCCCAGAATTCCTGAGCCAGCGTGAGGGAACTATGACCCTTTTATGACTGGTGGACTTCAACTCCCAGAATTCCTGAGCCAGCATGGGGAATTATGGCCCTTTTATGACTGGTGGACTTCGACTCCCAGAATTCCTGAGCCAGCATGGCTCAGCTTGGAAACCTCCCTGTCCCCTCAGCCTGGCTGGCTCAGGAATTCTGGGAGTTGAAGTCCACGAGTCATAAAAGAGCCAAGGTGGCCTACCCCTGGTCTAGGCACCCACGTGACTGATCGGATTTTATAATCTTTTTTGGTGTCGGTTTTTAAGAGAATGCTGTGACCGTACAGCAAATGCAGCAGTTGTTAAGCAAACTTTGGTCCTTAAGCAAGTCAAGGCATTCCCACAGGTGTCTTTTGCTGGCAAAAGACATTATAAATCACATCGTGTAACCATGGAACACTACAACTGACCTCAAAGGTTAGGCAGTTGCCAAGAGCCTGAAATGTGGTCATGCGGTTGTGGGTTGTGGGTTTGCCACCATTGGAACTGGTTCATAAGTACCTTTTGAAGGGGTCTGTCATAACTTGGAACAGTCATTAAGCAACCGGACATTAAGAGAGGACCTGTAAATAAGCACCATGCAATTAAGAAAAAGTTTTGACTCTATAATCAATGATGTATCCAACTCGCCTCCCTTCTATCCATAAGGCTGTCTTGAGCACGATCTAAAATGGGGGTCCCCAACCCCTCCAGGCTGTGAACCAGTACCGGTCCGTGGTCACACAGCTGGAAGTGAGCAGTGGGCGAGTGAAATTGCATATGCACAGGAACTAGGTTGCACGCTGCTCCTCCCCTCTCCATCCGTGGAAAAATTGTCTTTAATGAAACCCGTCCCTGGTGCCAAAAAGGTTGGGGACAGCTGGTCTAAAAGGAACTTGATCTTTCTAGGACAGAGGTAGGCAACCTTGGCTCTTTTACGACTCGTGGACTTCAACTCCCAGAATTCCTGAGCCAGCATAGCTGGCTCAGGAATTCTGGGAGTTGAAGTCCACGAGTCGTAAAAGAGCCAAGGTTAATAAAAACATCTTAGGATCATCTAGTCACCAGTCTTATTTTTTCTGTTTCAGAACTGATGGAATGCATGTGCATTTTTTTTAAAAAAAAGTCTTTTTCCCCCCTCCCCCCCTGTCTTTCAGACCAAAAGCAATGGCATAGCAAATGGATTTCCTGGAAGTGGGCCCAAAGAAGATTCCAATAAAAAGACGGATTAGTTATGCTTCCGTTGTGGGGTCAAGGCTGTTATTAAGAAATGAACTCACCGTGTTGTCCCCACATGGATATTTTATTGATTGCACATTTATCTGAACGGAAATTTGTAATATGTATAGACACCGGGGAGTCTTGGAATAATTCTAGCTGTGTCCTTGAAAATAGTTTTAATATATTGTCCTGCTGTTGTTAAAATTGGGGGTGGCTGGAACCCCAATGCGCAGTGCAATTGGAGAGTGTTAACAATGTTAGTGTCCATATTTTATTAAAGCTATAACTCTCAATTTTGCTACTTGTTTCAAAGAAATTCCTGAAATCCTTCATTGATGATGACCCATAGGTTGGTTTTTTCAAGCAAAAGTTCATGCCCACAGTAGCTAAAAAAAAAAGCAGCATTGTAAATATTTGAATACTAATGGTGAAAATATTGATAGCTACTAATTTGCTGTTTCTAAATTAGCATCTGCAGAGCCGCCCTATTGCCGATTCCTCACAATGATATAGAACGAGTAGGCAACCTTGGCTCTTTTATGACTGGTGGACTTCAACTCCCAGAATTCCTGAGCCAGCTATGCTGAGGAGAAAGGGAGAGGCTTCCAAGCTGAACCATGCTGAACTCAGGAATTCTGGGAGTTGAAGTCCATGTGTCATAAAAGGGCCAGGATTGGCTACCCTTGGGATAGAAAAACTTTTAAAAAGCAGATATTATATGGAGGAAACAATACCAATTCAATGCCACAAAGGTGAAATGTCCTTTTTTGATGTTTTTGAGCTTCTAAAGGTGAAACAAAGCTAAAGCTGATAAACACAACTCTTTATGCAAATTCCTGTATTTTGGTTGATCATGTCTACCTCCCTAATTAGAATAACACCCAAGGCCACCATAGCAAATAAACTTTACTGGTTATTGTTGTAACTATACTATTTTATCTGCAATGTAGATTTTCAGTTGGTGCATTCTAAAATCCCTGTGTGTTTTTCCTAAAGGAATAGGGAAGTTGTATCTCCCATGTGAAGTAAAAATTACACCTTACAAATATGCCCAGGACTCCATTTCGATTTAAGGCATTTTTACAGAGAACAGGTGGGTGATTGGGAAAAGCTCAGTGGGGATAAGAGAGTTTATTATTTTTCTGAGAGATCCATTTTAGTGAATAAGGAGACTACAACCCTTTGCCTAGGAAAAATGCAAATTTCACTGATTTAGAATTTGAATAAAGTGTGAAAGCAATATATGTATTATGTGCTGAGTCCAAATTCTCTCCTCCCCCCCCTTTTTTGCATACCAAAATTAAATATTCAGTTTAGGTTATAAACACACCAGTTAAGGGGAGCTTGTTGTCATTTTGTACTGTTGTGCCAATAATGGCATACATCTCTAACCCAGGGGTCTTCAAACTGGGCCCTTTTATGATTGGTGGACTTCAACTCCCAGAATTCTGGGAGTTGAAGTCCACCAGTCATAAAAGGGCCAAGTTTGAAGGCCCCTGTCTTTGAATCCAAGCCTGCAGTTTCATCAAAATGGCCGACTGAGGAATTCTGGGAGTTGAAGTCCACCGGTCATAAAAGGGCCAAGTTTGAAGACCCCCTGCTCTAACCCATGCTGGCTGGGGAATTCTGGGAGTTGAAGTCCATACGTCTTAAAGTTGCCAAAATGGAGAAGCCTTGTCCTGGCCCTCTGCTGAGTAATGCAAAATAGCTGTCTTGGCTGCAGATATAATGGGCCTTTGAGGAGCTGGGCAAGCCGGCTGGGAGGTGAGTTAAGACATGGCAGAGCTCAAATTTGTACCACATACGCAGTCCTCAACTTACAACCATTCATTTAATGACCATTCAAAAATATAAATCACTGGAAAAAAGCCCAGTCCTTGCATTTAACCATTGTCACAGCATCCCCACAGTCACATGGCCAAAATTTCAGGCACAGGGCAGCCAGCATATATTTAGGTCCTTTGACTCTGGGAGAGCAGCTTCAGCCTGATCCCACTGGGCTGTCTACGGCAGGGGTCTGCCACCTTGACAACTTGAAGACTTGTGGACTTCAGCTCCCAGAATTCCTCAGCCAGCTATGCTGGCTGAGGAATTCTGGGAGCTGAAGTCCACAAGTCTTCAAGTTGTCATGGTGGCAGACCCCTGGTCGACGGGGATTCTCCGTCACCCAGGTGATGGTTGCCCCAAAGGTGCTTTTTCAAAAGGCAGCCGGATTTTCTTGGTTTTTTTCCCTTGAAAACATTTCGCTTCTCGTCCAAGAACTCAAGAAGCTTCTCGGATGAGAAGCGAAACATTTTCAAGGAAAAAACCCCCAAAGAAAGTCCGGTTGCCTTTTGAAAAGCACCTTGGGGGACCCCACAGGTGGTTACATTCTGTGTGGTGTTCGTTTGCAGGCAAATCACTTGGGGGTCGCCTCAGCTTGCCCCTCTGTGAAATGGGCTTCACTTGGGATGTGTTTCAAAATGTCCTGAAGGCAGGACAAGAAGCAATGGATGGAAACTCACCAAGGAGAGAAGCAACCTAGAACTAAGGAGAAACTTCCTGACAGTGAGAACAATTAACCAGCGGAACAACCTGCCTCCAGAAGCGGTGAATACTCCAATAAGAAGAGATTGGACAAAAATTGGTCCAAAATGGTATAGGGTTTCCTGCCTGAGCAGGGGGTTGGACTAGGTGACCTCCAAAGTCCCTTCCATCATCATTATTATTATTATTCTGGATCATCGCACAGTCAGCCAGATGTTCAGACTGGATTTGGTACTTTGTCTACCTATGGAGTATTATTATGAATCATCGCACAGTCAGCCAGATGTTCAGACTGGATTTGGCATTTTGTCTACCTATCGAGTCCTTACCCAGGACCTGGGATAGGCAGATGTGGATGTTTGATGGTATTACAGGTATCCTCGCAGGATGGAAGCAGTTCCTAGTAAGGGCGTCTTTTGCAATTGACTAATAGCGAATTTGTCAATGCCAATGGTGTTCAAGTGGTGCTCCAGTTGTTTTGGGATTGCACCCAAGGAGCCTATGACTATTGGTACTACCCTTGCTTGCTTTTGCCACAGTCTTTCTATTTCTATTTGAAGGTCTTTGTATTTTGTGATCTTCTCCAGTTCTTTCTCGTCTATTCCGCTGTCTCCAGGCACTGTTGTTGTTATTGTTATTATCTGAGGGTGCGTTGGGAAAACTAGGCCGCCCGCCGTCTCTCCGGGGCACACCACCAGGGGGCGCAGAAGGGTTAAAACAGGCAGCTTCAGCTCTGCAGGGAGAGAGGCAAACCGCTCCAACTCCCGCCTGCGTACTCGGAGCTCACGAGGACTTCATTTCCCGACACGCAGGCTCGGTCCCACATGCCTGGGCAGGGCCTTCGAGCACGTGATCTCCGCTGACTCCTCCCCCCTCCTCCTTTCCCCGCCCAGAAGGGAAAAGTGGCGACGACGTGAAAAGATGGAGATCGCCGGCGGAGGGCGTGGCTAGCAACGGTCGCGCGCAGAGGGGGCGGGATCCGGGCGTCGGCGTTGGGGACGCGCGCAGGTCCCAGAAGAGATCCGGGGGGGCGCGGAGAGGACCGGGCAGGGTGCACCGCCTTTTCCTTCCCCCGGGAAACCGGAGCCGGTGAGTCGGTACCGCCGGAAGGGGTTGCTAACGGGGAGCCGGTGCGCTCCGCTTTTCGCCCCGCTAGCCGTGAAAAGGTGGGGCGGGGGAAGGCGGACCCTCGGGGGAGGAGGCAGCGAGTCAGGGAGACCCGGGATAGCAAACCCGCTTGCGGCAGGGGAAGAAACCCCGGTACGGGTCCAGACAACGCTTGGCCGACACGCGTTCAGTGCTGCGTGTGCTACGTGAGCTGAAGCCGCGGCGACGGAAAGCTTGGTTTTTTTAGCACGTAGGGACGCGTTCCCTGTTCCACCCAGCGGTGCCCAGGGGGCGAGACAAACTCCCCCTGCAGTGCAGGGCAGCCCCGGGGTGGGGGGTGAGGGTGGGGGTGGTTCCGTCACACCTTGCACGATTCCACGTGTGCGTTTGACTTCCCTTGGGTGCCGTGTCAAGCCAGGCAGCCCTTTATTCTAGAAGCCTGGGCCCTGTTTCTTGAGTAGATGGATATTTATGGGTCTTAATTTTTCTTGGCTGAGAGATCAAATATCAATTCACACGTGTGCGTGTGTGTGTCTGTGTGTGTGTAAGTATTTATATGTATATAGGTATGGTACCTGGACTGGCTTTTATATGAATTACTTATATTCACTGTGCAGAATTGCTTATCTGAGATGGACAGCTATATAAAGCGAAGAAGCCATCCATGGTGAAACCACCATTTAACTGGGTTTGTTGATCAGGTAGCTTGAGTTGATCTGGAGTAAAACGTCAGCCTAGGTCAGGGCTAGGCAACCTTGGTTCTTTTATGACTGGTGGACTTCAATTCCCAGAATTCCTGAGCCAGCCGTGCTGAGGGGAGAGGCTTCCAAGCTGAGCCAGGCTGGCTCAGGAATTCTGGGAGTTGGAGTCCACCAGTCATAAAAGGGCCAAGGTTAGGGGCCTCTTTTGCATAATACGCTAAAATGTAATTGGTTTGAAGTTAACCTACTATATATGGCTAGTATGGTTTGGTTAATTTAACTGTTTAATTTCGATTTTTCAAACCTGGCCACTTAGTATGCTTTGTGGACCCAGTTAATGCCAAGTGTGAATTCAAATGGTAGTTCTTTTTTCCAAGCTACATCCACCTGGAGCTGGGAAATCCTATATCAGTGGTGGCGAACCTATGGCACGGGTGCCAGAGGCGGCACTCAGAGCCCTCTCTGTGGGCACGCGCGCCCTCGCCCCAGTCCTAGGCCTTCAGCTGGGTTTTATAAAACCTTTTCGTTTTAGGCCTCTGCCGCCGCGTACAAAAAAAAAAAAAGGTTCAATCAATCAGTCAATTTAACTTCTCGTGGGAAAAAAAAAGATCTTGCAAAGTTGGAACTGATTGATTGAACTTTTTAGTCCCACCCAGTCTGTTGTTACCCGCAGCCATGCCCACCCAATGGGCCGTGCCCACCCAGCACTCGACCATGCATAAGTAGGTTTTGGGTTGCAGTTTGGGCACTCGGTCTCTAAAAGGTTCTCCATCACTGTTATATTATCAACCCTAAGAATAGAATAACTGCTGTGGAACTGTGGCCTCGTTTTATGCTGTTTTGAGTATTCTGAGTGCAATTAAAACTCCAGAGAAAAGAGATTTTCATGGCGATTAGGTTCATACACTTTCAAAGTCTAGATATGATATGTGGAAATAATCCATGACTGAGGTCATGTAGAGTGAAATGTTTTCAGTGACTCAAAAAATAACCGGACCGTTGAACTAATTCTGAAAACCTGAATTAATTTGAGGTATGAAAAAAATTGTTTTATTGAGTCATTGAGGCTGTGGGAGATTTAATTTCCCATCCTGGTATGCAAATCAACTTAGTTAACCCCAAGTTAATGTGAAGGCAGTAGGTAGCCATGATTAACCAGAGAAATCAGCCTCTTGCTTCCTTCTGAAATGTAGTTGAAAGGAGATCCCTTATCTCAGAATCAGGTTCTTCCTACCATAAAAGAATTTTGGGGAACCGATATGTGGTCTTGAATGTTTGAGAGTTTGTTGCATAAAATAGGTACATGTGTGTTAAACCTCTGGCTGGCTTATCTTCCTGTTATTTTTATTTTTTATGTATTTATTTGTATCCTGCCTTTATTACTTTTAAAAATAACTGACAGTGGCCAACATATCCAACCCCCCTTCCTCCTATTTCCCCCACAACAAGAACCCTGTGAGGCAGGTTGGGCTGAGAGAGAGAGACTGGCCCCAAATCACCCAGCTGGCTTTCGTGATTAAGGCAGGACTTGAACTCACCATCTTCCCCCCCTTTCTAACCTGATGGACTAGACCAGGGCTTTTCAACCTTTTCACCCATTGTACCACTTTTAGGATATGGCAACATCCGAGGACCACCAGTCGCTTAGCAAGGTGTCAAAAACTTGGTGACCAAAAAAAAAAAAAAAAAAAAAGGAAAAAAGTGATAAACTACAGGTAGTCCTCAACTTACAACAGTTCGCTTAGTGACTGTTTGAAGTTACAATGGCACTGAAAAAAGTGACTCCCAAGCTACAGCCGAGTAAGACGCCTGCCTGCCCACCCAGTGGCGCTCTTCCTCCTGTCTGAGGTTTTCATTGTTGTGAGCGTTTCTGTTGAGGATTGGCAGCAGGGGTGGGGTGGGGTGGGGTGTTTGGTTTTTATTCCCCCCCCCCCGTCTTCTAGGTGGTTGCAGCAGATTTTGGTCCCTTCACATGACCCTGGGACACTGTGACCGTCATAAATATGAATCGGTTGCCAAGCATCTGAATGTAAATCACAAGACCCTGGAGAGGCTGCAACATTCCAGCTGATCGGCGCTTCTTCTGGGCTCAGCAGAAGCACCAGGATCAGTGCTGCTTTCCAGCTGGAGTCTGGTGCCGATCCTGGTGCTTCTGCTGAGCCCTGACAGCCCTGCAGCTCCAGCCGTCTCTCGCTCAGGCTTGTGCGGTGCTGCCACCGGTTCAGCTCATTCCCCTCCCCACTACCACTTTTCTAGGATGGTCGCATACCCTCTGCCAGGTGCCAATGGACCACAGGTGGTACCTGTACCACTGGTTGAAAAGCCCTGGATTAGACCAGGGGTAGGCAACCTTGGCTCTTTTATGTTCAGCTGGCCCAGGAATTCTGGGAGTTGAAGTCCACAAGTCATAAAAGAGCCAAGGTTGCCTACCCCTGGACTAGACCAAACTGGTTAGTCTCCCTCCCCAATCAGGTAAGAAATCCATTTCATCCCTCCGAGGATGTCACTTTTATGACTCATATGATCCTAAGCCACTCTGGTATTGATTTTATTTTAAAAATATATATATATATATATATAGTTCCTGGTTGCCCAAAAGCTGCATGCTCCGTGTTCAGTCATTTCCTGCTATGTGGGTTTTTTAATTTATTTAGTGTATGGCATGTGTCACATAGTCTAGCAATATATATTAACATTTCACCTAGATTAGTAAAACACAATAAATTATAAATGTTAAAAAGATCTATGTTCAAATGCCAACATCTAGGCCTGTAACCACTAAAGCACAGCATGTTTATATTAAAAAAAAAAATCAGATACTGGACCAACTTACAGGTAGCCATGATGGTTTTATGTGGGACCTGCAGTCACACTGAGGGGAGGATGCTGTACCCCCTTTATACAGGGAGTCTCAGCCCTGTCAGGTGCGAATCCTGTTCAGGGTTGATGGTTCAAAGCCTGGCACCTTGTTTGGGGGGGCATTTATATGTCTTCCTATGTTCCATATTCCATATTCCAAATCCATATACCTGCGGGTTTTTACGAATTATATGCCAACCCATGTATGTAATATTTTCTGTTCTGTAGCGTATCTTCTGTTTTTCTTAATAGTTGGAAAAAGTGAGAATTCTGCTGTGCGTAGTTTTTAAAATTCTCCTTGATCACCTAATGCAGTGGTTCTCAACCTTTCTAATGCCACGACCCCATAATACAGTTCCCCATGTTGTGGTGACCCCCAACCACTTATACATCACCGGGTGCCAGGGGCGTGGCCAAAGAAAAGGGGGGAAAAATGGCGGACAGCCTTGTTTGGCGACCCCCGTGAAATGGTCGTTTGACCCCAAATGGGGTCCCCACCCACAGGTGGAGAACCACTGACCTAATGCTTTTTCTAGATGGTTAGTGAAGTATTCCTCATTTAGGCTTGAAAATATAAAACCGTTTTCATAGCCCCAGAAGCCGCAAAGCTGCTTTAACAAATATTTTCAATGTTTTGTATATTTCGTTCTCTGCTACTTGCTGCGTTTCTGTTGCTGCCAGTTCCTTCTTTAAGATTCTAGAAATCTTTATTTTTAACATTTAAACACGAGGTTTAATATGAATATGTGTTCCCTTAGGAGAAGGTGTGACATCTCTGTCCTTACAGTCTTATATCATCTGTTCCAAGGACAGATTGTGCAAAGAAAGAATTAGCTTAGTCACTTGATAATTAGTTTAAACAGAAAAGGCATCTGATTTGACATGGTTAAAACTGCATGTGGCATCTGTGAGACTATTCTTTTGCAATTATGGTTGTGAATTGTTTAAAAATAGCATTGCATTTTAGGTTAATGATGTTATCGTTTACCTAGAATCCTGATACGCAGGATTATGTATAATGAAATCCTTACAATATCATATTATGCCAGGAGCTTCATTAGATTGATTAAACAAAACGTATGCAACTATTTTCAGACTGGCCGTGTGATCAAAATTTGGGCGCTTGGCAGCTGGCATGTATTTATGAGAGTTGAAGTGGCCTGGGTTCATTTGTGCCCCAAGTTTCAGGAACATATAAATCCAATTAGATTAAAGTTGTTCTTTTAATGCTTTAATTCCCCTGGGTAGTTGAACGCCGCTATTCTTAGAGGGTGGGAGCTGTGGGCACGCGTGCCTTCGCCCCAGTCCTAAGCCTTCAGCTGGGTTTTATAAAACCTTTTCGCTTTAGGCCTCTGCCGCCGTGCGCAAAAAAAAAAAGGTTCAATCAAATAGGCAAATTTCAACTTCTCGCGGGAAAAAAAA